CGTACCATCACATTTATAACGCTGAACTTCCTCGTCGTTATGTTCTTCGAATTCTTTTTTGACAGAAGCTGTAAAGTGATGTCTCCATACTTGGCAGACCCTTCACTTGGCCAATATTGTGGATAACTCTACCAGGAGATGCAAAATGCCAGACTCAATATATACCTTAGCATGAGAACATCAAAATTTATTTTTGTCAGATAATATGCGAAAAATCAGTGAACTTTAAGTAATGAATTGCAGTATCGCAAGCATGTCTTACTCTAGACCTGAGGGATCGTAGGTAAAGAATTCCCTGCGCATGATTCCAGAGCTTCCTTTAAAAATATCAAGAAGTTAAAATTTGCGTTTGGTATTTCGCATTTAACATAAGTAAAGTATACCTCTTTTTCCTCTTTTAAACTGTTTAACATCACGACTGTGCCGATATCATACTGTGATATCATCCTCCAGAAGTCTTTAACAGTATCGTTTAACGGGGCTTGAGTCAAAATGTATGCTTTACGTCGACTATAGTCCTAATGAAGGTAGTAAAATATGTCACCATTGAGAAACTTGTTGTAAAGAACACAGAGCAATAAATACGATAGAGAGACAATTCTATCGAAAGGAAATTCCATTGCACTCATTATCTTTAAGCCTTAAAAAAACTGCAGCAAGTATCTGATCTATTATTGCTAGTAACTGCTCAGTACCTACTGACAACTGATCCATCTTCCTTAGTATCAAGCGTATAGGTTTAACATTGTTTTCTTGAAGTTCTGACCACAGATAAATGGTATTAACTTAAACTTCAGCTTGAGGGCGCTAACTGAAGACATCATGAGTCGTTTATTGTGGGATCCAAATTTGCTTTCAGCGTCAAGTTAATCAGTCATAAATGTATTTTTGGAGGACAAATAAACATCGAAATGGAATGAGTATGGTTAAGGATAGTGACAACTGACTCGAACTGCAAACAAATAACTTATAAAATATAGGCTAAATTTTCTTAACTTATTTCAAAGAAATATAGACCAGACAAAAAGGAGAATTAAGAGTTAGATCTGGGGCGGTATAGGGTCAATGCTCCCAACACGTATGTACTTACGTCAACGAAAGAGGCGTTGATGTAATCCTTATCCGGCTCTGAACTCCTCAGCATGACCCGTGCAGTATCCACTTTAATGAAATAAAAAAACGACTTTAACAATGAAATAAACAATAATGATGATGATGATGATGATGATGAACGGGGTCTCAAAAACAAAATAATATGTTGGCGAAATATCAGTATAATTTTGTCCTGACTGATATGAAATTTGGATGAAATCTGTGCGAAATATCAGCATAAAAAGTAGCCAGAGAATGTTTTCAACATTCAAGAGAGCATTCTATATCTCCAGTTCCCGTCGGTGGGGTAAGATGTTGTTAATTACTCTTTCAATTTTGCAAATGACTGGTGGATATCGTCCCCAGTAAGTTAGTAAATAGCCATAAAACTCATTTGTATTGAAAAATGTTTTTTTTGCGTTATCGCCAAACAGGAAAGAAACACGGTTTAATAACATTTAAGGCAGTACTTACTTGGTACTATATTTGAAAACCTGTTCTTGTTAAGGTTCGAGGGCTTAAACGCATCGACAAATTCTTCTCCTGAGCTTTGGCAGTCGTTGAGGAGCTCCAAACGCTGGAATAACAAATACTTTTCACTTTAGTTTGCCCGTTTAGCAATAGACCATATAATATTAAAAACTAGTGACGTTTGCTAATGTGAGGCAGACTAATACCTTGAATTCTTCTGCATAACCAGTCTGTTTGGCATCTGACATGACCCTGGCAAGTTTGTTCATTCTAATCCGCAAGTTTTGAGAAGTGACCTCTGTAGTTCCACAGGTCAAAGCTTCCATCACAGCTTGATGTATGAACACGTATTGTGTCTACATAAATGCAAAAAATATGAGGCTAAACAATCACAAAAACAAAAAGAGCAAACACTGTATCTTGCTAGTCTATTTCATCAAATAATGCGATTACGCATAGTGTCGTCATCTTCCATTTAAATAGTTATTTTTCCCATTTCCCTCCAATTAATTATTATGATACAGAACGAATAGCTAACAAAAACGGCAAATAATTAAAGAAACGTTCAGTTAAGGCAATAAAACTTTCATTACGTTACTCTTTGCTTGTTTACAAACGTTAAAAAGACAGCGGAGATAGTAAATTTAATCACATCTGCATCTAATCCACACTTCTGGAGCGGGAGCACTCGAAAATTAACATCATTATGAGCAACAATAGCTGTGTCCGAGAAGAATGTGAAAAAAAATTTACCCAGATACAAAAAACTGTGTTACCCACAAAGATTCGAACCTCGCACCTTCGTATTTCGCGATCGAACGTCCTTTCAATTTCATGTGACTACAGAAAAATCATCAACAACATTCGCTGCAGAAATGAATCAAATTCACTTACATCATTCTGCACCATATAAGGGCGATGTTTTCGCATCACTTGCACGTAATTCTGTATGAACACAGTATTCTTCTTCTTAGCACCTTCCAACATGGCGTCGATAGCAATGTACGTACCAGTTCGACCAACACCAGCACTGTCATGGAGCAAAGAAATAGGAGATCACAATCGAAAAATGATCATGTCGTTAAAATGAAAAAGAAATTCAGCCGACCAGCAATTTTGAGTTCCTCTACGGTCCACACGCGGTGAATGCTGTCTAAGAACTACATTTGTAGTACCCACTTTTTATCCCACTGAGGTAAAAGGAGATTTTCGCATCTTTAAAATTATTCACCGTATCATCTGTAATGCGTATTGATCTCCTTCCTCGTTGTACCAAACCTTCAGACACTATTTAAC